TGTCCGGCTGTGACAGCTCGTAGTCCGTGTCACTGAGGAGGAGGAGCTCGTCATCGTCAGAGATGGTTATGGCGTCAGGCCTGCCACCAAGAATGTCGCTGATGTTGATGCATGACTTGTTGAAAGCAGGAGACCGAGTGATGAAGACGACCATTCAGCTCATTGTGCAACTTGCCTTGCGCTTCCAGCTCCGCCCGCGCGTCCGAGGCGGCGGTCTGGCACGCGTCGAATCAGGTCCTTGCCTTCTCGAGAATGCTGGATTATTCGCCCAGGCGCTTCTCCAAGATGTGAACATTTTGCAACGCTTCCGCGGCCTGACGATCCAAGGGTTTCGCCACGGGGCCCTTGTCCGCGATCATGTTCTGCTTGCGCCAGAGGAGGGTGCTAAGGAGGGTACTGCGCCTTCGCGCCATTGTCACCGAACTTGCATGCCATGCTGAGCAATTGGTCGGTCTCCTGCAGCGTGATGCCAGCAGGCATCTGAGATGAGCTGCCTGGAATTACCCTTGCCGGCGAGAGATGCATCGCCGCGCCGTCGCTGTTCGACGTCGCATATTCCAACGCCTCGTAGCAAGAGCGACCACAGCGCTTGCATCACGGGTACCACGACGACAAGTTTTTTGCGCATCCACGGTCCTCATGACCACACTTCCACCGAGCTGGCGGCCTGCTGCTCGGAGGGTTCCACCATTACGACGGGGACCGACGCCATGGGACCTCGTTGTGGTTCTCTGGCACGGCGGCGCCGTACTGAGGTGTGGGGCGGGGTAAGCGTCGAGCCACCCTGGCCCGCAGCTGCAACGCCGTCCTGAAGTTCGCAGCTGCAAATCCAAATGCCTGGACCAGGACGGCCAAGAGGGGGGGAGGAGGAGGAAGAGGAGGAGGAGGAGGAGGAGGAGGAGGAAGGAGGAAGGAGGAAGGAAGAAGGAAGAAGGATGGAGATGCGGGGTGGAGAATGGAGGAGCCTCCTGAGGAGGATGCGAGCGGTCCTCCGACAATGCTGTCAAGGCACATGGGCGATCGACGGGGACGTCTGACCCTCTGGGCGAGACCACGGAGCCTCGAGCAGGCGTCGACTACGGGTTCCAATCCGACCCTGCCCCCATCCACCTCCTGTTCTTCAGTTTGATCATCTGGAACAGCGGAGGCGGGAGCATGAGAGGGAGGAGGAGGAGGAGGAGGAGGAGGAGGAGGAGGTCTGGGGTCTGAGGAGGCCGCGGGGCCAGAAATGTGTCCCAAGAGGCCGAAAGTCTTGGAACACATCTGGCGCTCCCAACCAGCCTCCCGTGCCTCTTCCCTCGTTCCTGTCCCGCCCCTTCAGTATCCCCTGCCTCATTCCTCCTCCTCCTCCTCCTCCTCCTCCTCCTCCTGGTTCTGGTTCTGGTTGAGGCGCACCCAAGTGGGGCGCGTTGGTGCCGAAGCCCCGGGCAAAGGGCAGGCATGAGCAGTCCCGAGTAGGGCGCTGGCAGCGGGGCAAGTGCCCGGCGCGCGTGCCCGCACCCAGGGGGCCGGGTGTCGCTTCGTGCGAGACAGTTGTAGGGGCCCCCTGGGAGCCGCGCCTGCCACGCCACCAAATGGCGGAGCGCCAGTGCGCGAGCGCGAGTGCGCGTGCTGCCAACTGGCGGCATCGAAACAGGGAACCTCGTCGTCCTCCACCACCCCGCCACAGCTCCACCACCACCAGCCAGGCGAGGGAAAAGGGGAGAGGGAGGAGGGCGGCGGGAGGAGACACCCCGGGGGGGGGGCAGCCGGGAGGGCGACAGGACGACGGCGACGACAGGAGACGACGAGGGCGACGCCGACGAGAAGCAACGGCGACGACGACGACGACGGCGAGGGCGACGAAGACGAAGGCGACGGCGACGAAGACGACAACGACGGCGACAGCGGCGGCGAACGCAGCGACGACGACGACAGCCAAGGGACACGCAACGCGCATTTCCAGAAGCGAAAAAAGGAAGCGAGTGCCCGGGGCGCGCGCGGCTAGCCCCGGGGCCGGCGGCCGCGCTCGGCGCTCCGGGAGCGGCAGGAGGGGCTCAGGCGGGGGCGGCGGCGGCGGCGGGAGGCAGCGGCCGGGGGCGCCCCCGCAGCCTCAGGGCGACGACGACGACCACGACGACGACGACGACGACGACGACGACGACGACGACGACGACGACGACGACGACGACGACGACGACGCGACGACGACGACGACGACGACGACGACGACGACGACGACGACGACGACGACGACGCAAAGGCGGCGACGGCGGCGGCGGCGGCAGCAGCGGCGGCGGCGGGGACGGCGGCAGCGGCGGCGGAGGCGGCGGAGGCGGCGGCGGCGGCGGCGGCGGGAGGCCCCAGCCGGGGAGGCAGCAGCAGCAGCCGTCGGGGGGGCAGCGGCGGCCAGGCCCGTGGCGGCAGCAGGAGCGTGGAGGGCCAGCGCGGGCGGCGCGCCCAGAGCGCTGGGCGGGGGCGGAGGCGCCGCGGCGGCGCGGGGCCGGGGCTGGTTCCCAACCCAGGGGACGGTCCACGCAAGCACTGCTTCGAGGAGCCGCTCGCGGACCTCCGTGTTGCCGGCGATGGTCAATTTGGCTCGCCGGAGCCAAAAATTGATCACCCCGCCGCCGCCGAGCGGACGGAGCGCCAAGCCGATCCGGGCCCCGTTGGTGCCAAAGAGCCAGAATGCCTGGCGGGAGTCGGTGTAGAGCCCGCAGGCGGCAGCCAACTGAAGGACCTCTTGCTCTGTGAGCGCGCGCCCGTCAGCACGCGCAGGGAGCCCGCGGCGGAAGCGGGCGCTACCGGGGTCAGCGCCGGCGCAGCGCCGCGAGCGCCGCGAAGAGCCGGAAGGCGCGGGAGGCTGCTGGGGCTGGTGCTGCGACGGCGCCGCCGGCAAGGAGACGGACGATGAGGGCGGGCCGCTGGGCCGCCAGGAGCAGGCGGACGAGGGGGGCAGCGGAGGCGAAGGCAGCACGGGCGCCGCCGGCGGGGGGCCAGACGACGGGGGCGGGCAGCACGGCCGCCCGGAACTGGCCGGCGCAGGCGGAAGAGGCTGGGGCGCGGGCATCCCCAGCGACGCAGGCGGCGGGCCAGAGGAGGACGCAGCGGGGCCGCCCAGAGGCGGAGGGGCGGCGGGCGGACTGCGCCACGGGGGAGTGGCCTGCGACGCCGGTGCCACGCCCGGGCTGGCCCCCGCAGAACCGCTCGAGCTGCCGCCCGCTGCGCCCGCAGCCCAGCGCAGACTTGCGGCACGGAGGGCAGCAGCGGCACCCTGCGCAGAGCCCCCGTGCACCGCCACCAAGGCCTCGGCGACCAAGGGGTCCAGGTAGTTGGCCCCGAGCAGGAGGGTGTGGACCACCTCTGCAAGGCCCACGGGGCGCGCCAGCCGCCCGAAGAGGGCAGCGGCCGCCAAGGCCGCAGGCGCGGCGTGCCCGGGCGCGGCGGCAGCCAAGGACTGCAGAGCAAAGACGAGATCCGAGGAGGGCACCGCCGATGCTCCCACGAGCTCTTGCACCAGGCCGGCGAAGGGCGGTCCCATGGATGCATGGGCGAGCCAGCCTGCCAAGGTCTCTGCCGGCAGGAGGCCGACCGCGGCCAGGAGCGCCGGCGAGTAGGCCGAGTTGCAGACGCCAGGGTGCGAGGGCAAAGTGCGCGCAGCTGCCGCCGCCAGCAGTGAGCTGAGAGGCCCCTCGCTGCATGCCGCGTCGCCGCTGCAGTGCGGGGCGCCAGGCGAAGCCGGAGGCGCCGGTGACAGAGGCGAGCCAGGCGCCGCCGACGACGACGACGACGACGAGCTGGACGAGGGCAGAGCAGCGGCGTTCAGGAAGGCCCCAAAGACCGGCGGCGGCGGCACGGGGACCGCTGCTGGCTCGGCCGGCACCCGGCCAGGGGCCATGGCAGACTCGGCGGGGAGACCAGGGAGGCCTGGGACAGTCTCCGCCTCAGGATCCACCTGCGCAGGGGCACCAGTGGGAGGCACGAGGGCCGCACCGGCATCTGGCCCCGCCGGCCCGCTGCTGCTGGGTTGGGCCCCGCCTGTCTGGACACCCGAGAAAGGAACCGAAAGAATGGGAACAATGCCCAACAGCAAAGGCAGACACAAAGACCCACAGCGGCCGCTGTAGGGCAGGCGGCCAGCAAACGCCTCCTCCTCCTCCTCCTCCTCCTCCTCCGCCTCCGCCCCCGCCTCCGCGTCCGCCCCCGCCTCCGCCTCCTCCTCCTCCTCCTCCTCCTCCTCCTCCTCCTCCTCCGTGTCCCTGCATCCCCCCCTCCCTCTCTCCCTCCCTCCCTCCCTCCACAATTACACAATATGAAAATACTCTCCCACTTCCCCTGATGGCGTCCCGAAGATGGCCGACCCCCCCCCCCGCGTACTGTTTTTTAGCACACAGGATTCCCGGGAAACGGGTTTTCGCCTGCGTTCTTTTCAAAATGCTACTCTCGCTGAGGCGCCGGCCTCATTTCTGCTCTCGGATCGTTCCGAATCGTGCTCCCGCTGCAGCGTGGGCTCATTTTCGGATCGGTGTTTGGCGTCCGTCGTTCAGGATGGCGTTCTCGCCCCAGCGCGGGCCTCTTTCTCGCGCGCCCATCCGCCCGCCACCACCGCGCCGCACCCACCACCACCACCACCACCACCACCACCATCACAACACCACCACCACCACCACCACACCAGCACCACCACCACCACCACCACCACCACCACAACCACGCACACACGCACGCACGCACGCACGCGCACCACCACCCACTACGCACGCGCGCGCGGAGCCGCAGGTCCGCTACGACACGCGTCCGCGGATAGAGAAAATCAGCGCCATTGTAAGGGATGGGAGGGAGGGGTAGGACGTCAGATATGACGCGAGCGCACCTAGCTTGATCCCCACCCCCTCTCCCCCCTCCCCCCACCCCACCCCACACATCCACCTCGTCCTTGTTCGCCCCTTCCTCTCCTCTCCTCCTCCTTTCTCGTTCTCTCATCCCCACCTCCCCCTTTTCCCTCAAGGAGCGCGCGGCACCCGCCAGTCGCACCAGATCTTCCCCGCAGCCTTCTCTCGCTCGCCACCTCGCGGTGGGGTGCAAACGGGCTGGGAACAGGAGGAGATATTATACCGATGATGATGATGATGATGATGATGATGATGATGATGATGATGATGATGATGATGATGATGATGATGATGATGATGATGATGGTTATGATGATGATGATGATGGTGATGATGATGATGATGATGATGATGATGATGATGATGATGGTGATGGTGATGGTGATGGTGATGATGATGATGCTGCTGTTGATGATGTTGCGGATGATTATGGTGATGATGGTGATGATGGAGGTGGTAATGATGATAATGCTGATGATGATGGCGATGGTAATGATGAAGATGTTGATGGTGACGATGATGATAATGATGACGACAGCGATGATTATGGTGGTAATGATAACGATGACGATGACGATGACGATGGATGATGATGGTGATAATGCTAATGATGATGACGACAGCGATGATGATGCTGATGATGATGATGACAACGACGACGATGATGATGATGATGACGATGAGAATTATGACGATGATCATGATGAGGAGGAGGAGAAGGAAGGGGAACGGGACCGGACGCCCATGGAGTGCAGAGAAAAGAAAAGACATTGCAACATGAGGTAAGGAGGAACAGGATCGAGGCTCCAGGTTCACAAAGCATTGGTTTGGCAATTATTGGTAGTATAGTAGCAGTAGCAGTAGCAGTAACAGTAGGAGCAGCAGTAAGAGCAATAAGAGCACGAGTAGCAGAAGAAGCATCAGTAGCAGTAGCAGTAGCAGTGGTAGTAGTAATACTAATCGCCGTGGTGGTAGTGGTAGTGGTCGTAACAGCACTAGTAGTATCAGCAGCAGTAGCAGTTTGTTAGCAGTAGCAAAAGCAGTAGTACAAGTGCTATCAATGATAATAGTAATAGTTGTCGCTGTTGTTTACAATAATAATGCGACCAAAACCAATGTTTGTTGTCCAAATAGGCTTGCCCTATAGGAGTCCTAGCTCAAACCCTACTAAATGGTCTGTTGCCCCCCCTCTCCCATTCCTATGCCCCCCCTAATTCCTATGGCTATGCCTATACCTATGTCTATCCCCCCATGTTCCCCATGGCAGCCCCCCCCCCCCCTTATGTATGCTTGCTTGCGCGCTTGCTTCCTTGCGTGCTTACTTGCTTGCTTGCGCGCTTGAACGCTTGCTTGCACACTCGCTTGCTTGCTGAGCTGCGGATTACAAGCATGCTCGATTCTTCTGACTCCTTGATAAATAAAATCGTCAAATCTATGTGGAGTCAACGCTGGCTGATATCATACTATCTGTAGTAGTA